AGTAGTCTTCAGCGCTGGGCGCTGGTAGGTGGTAGATTGTAGAGTGGGAGAGATACTGGCGGAGGCCAGTGGTACTTACCTGTGGCGCCATCGCTCCAGCTCCATCTTCGTGGTACCTGCATCAAGGCGCCAACTTCACAGGTTAGTACTGGACACAGAGAGAGAGAGAGAGAGAGTTCTTCTTCTTCCTCTTCTAAGTCCACCATCTCTTCTCACCCTCTCGCCACCTGACTTCTCACACTACGACAGAGAGAGAAAGAGTTGTGACTTGAGACTTGACGACATTGGATCCAGACTGGACATTGGGATTCAGACATTTCGACGAGGGACTATTTGGGCCAGTACCGAGACTTGGTGTTGACGACATTCCCATCTTCCCCTCCTCTTTCGTCTAACCCCTCCTTCTTCGTCTGTGTATGGTTGGGGCTGGCGCAGTCTTCTTGTGTGAAGCGCCAGACCCCCTTCACACCAGATAACGATGATGATGATGTGTGTTCAGAACTGCATTGCAATATTGATTGTTCGGATCATTCGTATCTAAGTCTTCCGCTGTGTTATCTTGTACTTTGTATTGAGAGGTCGGTTCTTGTTCTGGTCTGCACGTTACAGTATGCAACACTGCTACAGTCCTGAAAGGTCAAGGCCGTAGCTGCTACAGTATCGAAAGGCCAAGTCCACGGCCTTTCGGAAGGCCCTAGCAGTGGCCTTTCGAAGTTGCCCACGTTTAGGCTGAAGCAAGTGGGCAAGTGGTGGAGTCTACCCGTGCTGAGTCAGCAGTCCCAGTCCCAGTCAGTCCTAGTCCAAGTCAAGCAAGTACCGCATGGGACTGTGTGCACTACGGGCATGGGAAAGGGGCAGACCAACGAACCACAGAAGTATAAATCAAGAGGCAGCGCCCAGCCATTCATTCATTCCTGCGTGAACCATGCGGAAGCGCTGCCACAGCGACTTGTGCGAGGTGGTCTGCAGTGAGCCCGAAGACGGAGTGGGCGACAGAGACGGAGCTTAGTCATAGCGATAGGTTAGCAGCGGCCATAGTCGCCATAGCTGTAGATAGTGTAGCGTGTGTGTGTGCGTGTGTGAGTGTACAGAGTATCGCGTGTGGGATATCCAGGGTGATCCTGTGTGTGCGAACAGAGAGTTGTGTGGGCGCTGTGTCGCCATAGCCATTGAAGTGAACTTGTATCTGAACTGTGTTCTCGGCTACCATATCTCTGAGTTTTGAGTGGGCGCTTGTTGCCAGTTTGCTGCGCATCCTGTTTACATGCATGTGAAGTGTGAAAGATAGCAAGTCTGATTGCATTATGAAGAAAAATAAAACAAACAACATTTGCCTGAGCATTACATCCAAATTCCTTACAAAATTCGAAATAAAAATTAAATACAGAACATAAAACTAATAGTCTAATAATAAAAATAAGAAAAAATGAAAAGGCGCAGCTAAATGCCCTGAAAATTTACAGATGTGTACTTCACATAATAAAAAAGTTAAAAAAAATCATTAAAAAAGTTTCAAAAAATAATAAAATTGTTTAGGCCCCGCAATAAAGTGAAAAAAAAAAGTAAAAAGTGAAAAAAAAAACAAAATAGTGAGTGCGCGAGCACTTTTTGACACCGCCATCTTTGGCGATTTTTTATTTTTGTTTGGCTTAGCAAAATGACTTCAAAATTTATAGGCATGTACCTCACATCATAGAGAACTTGCAAAAAAAAATCAGAAAAAAGAACTTATCTTTAGGTCCCGAAATCATTTTTGGCAGGGGCTGAACGCCTTCGGGTTCGGACCCCGAACGGGAACTCAAACGCCAGTACGTACGGAGGTCGGCCCGGGAACCTCCGTACGTACGGGCTGGCGACCCTGCCTGGATCAACAAACGTAAAAAAAAAAAGAAAAAAGAAATAGCAACTTAAAAAAAAAAATCACAAGAGTCAAACTCAGACAGCAATCAAGAGCGGAGCTAAGCTGCCACAGGGCAGCAGCGTGCTTGTGTGGGGGGGGGCGGGGCAGCTGCCCACATCCTCTCTTTTTTGTTTCTGTTTTTTTTTCATCGTTTTGGGCGGGGGTGGGGTTTGAGAAACCAATATTTTATTTCGAATCCAAAACATCTTCTTTCCTTTTTTTTTTAATGCTAATCTTCTTTCTGCAAGGAACATGAGTATGGACGAAGCACAGAAATCCAGAATGCAATATCACACTGAAGTCCAAGTATTCAAAGCCAAAGCAGATAGTACAATGGAACCGAGTAACCATCCAATTGAGAATCATACAGAAGAATCGTGAGTCAATGTCCATGCCCAACAAGGCAACACCAACAGCATAACCCAAATGTAGCTCTCTCTTGTGAATGACGCCAGGCGCCCTATCTACTACTCTACAGCCTATCCTACAACTACAGCAATGAAAGCAACCAGACAACTTGACTACCAGCGAGTGATGATGTCAACACCAATGCCGACCTCCACCATCACCAGGTACGTGTCCTCTTCCCCACACTCTCCCTTGTTACCCCCACAGCGCCCTTCACCTCCGAAGACCACCTTCGCCCTACACCCTCACTGCACCCTCATGCGGCCCGGCTATGGCCGCCAGTGCCTTGCATGCAGGCAGCGCCCTACCGCCTAGCGCTTGCCTGCTTCACCTCAGCGCAGCGCTGCTCATGCATAGCGTAGCACACATGCATCCGCGCAGCGTGCCCGCAATGCCAGCATTGGCCAAGATCCCTGCCCACTCGCCCTGCTTGCCTATATGCCAGTGCAGCGTGTGGGCGGCCTTCCTTCAGCCTGTGACCGGGACCCAGAGGCTGAAGCCTACCCGATACAGTTGGGCCCCGGAGCAATGCAGTTGCGCCTCTTTCATCCAGGCCTGCGGCCCGATTCAGATAGTGGGCCGATTTCCCTTTGGCATTTTCGGCCTCTCTACCCAGCATGCATTGTCGGCCTCACGTTCGAGTGCCCAGGGCCTAACTAACTCAGAGGCCCTGGGCATTTCAGCATTTGCTGAAATCCGAGACTCGGTGCACTCCAACCAACTGGCGAGCTGCAACTGTATAGACCCCACTTCGTGAAATGTTGGCATAGAGGGCTCTTGTTGATTTGCTGGCCCGCCTTCACTTAGGGCGGGCACTAGGCTTGCTGGGGCCTTAGCCCAGAACATGTACATCATGGCAAGGCCCCTACTTGAGGGCTCAATCCTCACATGTACATCATGGCAAGGCCCCTACTTGAGGGCTCAATCCTCACATTGAGAAACCAATATTTTATTTCGAATCCAAAACATCTTCTTTCCTTTTTTTTTTAATGCTAATCTTCTTTCTCTGTATCGTTCCAATTTTAACAGGGATGTCCCAAAAGACTAACATGCAATTCTATCTGCAGCAGTAGGCATAAAGTTCTTTCTTACTTAACCATCTTTTTTTTTTTTTAATATCTTTTTTCTATCTTTTATTTATTTATTTTTAATCTTTTATTTATCTTTTTTAATCTTTTTTTAAGGTTTTTTAATTTTTTATTTTATCTTTTTTTTTCCCCACCAGTAGCAGCCCCCACATACCTTTTTTTTCTTTTTTTTCCTTTTTTTTTTTAAGGTCTGAACAACAGCCCCCACATCACTTACTTCCCCATTCGGATGTCAAAGGTGTGAATCGTCCCATCCACGCTGCCACACACGATCTCGCTTTGCGTGACGACGATCGATGTCACACTGTCACGAAAGCCTTCTATCACCTGAGGACAAACCCAGCCTGACGTCAGCGCAGAGACTGGCGTGGGCACAGAGATCCACATGTCCAACATCAGCACAAGGACCGACATGTTGGGAAAACAAAAGGGAGCGCAGTCACGGTCTGAGTTTCAAAATCCATTCCTGGCAAAACGCTGAATATGTTGAATCTAGGGTTCCGGTGGGGGTGTGTTATGTTCGAGGGATGCCTGAAATGCATTTTGACTCTGTTTCCGTCAATGTGCCCAAAAAAAAAAAAAAATTGACACTGACGTGGCACAGACACTGACATGATGGAACCAAAACAACGTTGATGCGTCCTCCAGCGGGACATCCATTAATTTTTTTTTTCTTCTTCTTTTTTTTTCAAAAACATCCATTAAAATTGGAACGATGCATTTAAGGATGGACGAGGCTTGGCCACCGCTCACTTGGAGACACCTTCCCTATTAGACACAAATGAAGGATTAACCTTGTATTTGATTTAGACTTGGGCACTGGGTCCCTCGTTTGAAAAAAGAAAAAAAAGAAAAAAAAGAAAAAAAAGAAAAAAAGAAAAACAAATTCAAACAATAGAAAGAAGATGGATGGATGGATTCGCACATGGCCCCTGTGTTAGATGGATGCATGGATTCGCACAGGGATTCCCTATACATCAATTTTCACATAGCAAAAAACACTACCAAAAAAAAAAAAGAAAAAAAAAAAGAAAGGGAGAGGCAAATAAGGGCAGAAATGACAGCCATAATGCGTTATGGGAATGAACAGAAAGAAACGAGCAAACAACTTGTTAAAGAATAAAAATCCGATTAAAAATTTTGAAAAAAACAAAAAGACTTAGGTAATTACTATTTACATGCTGCATCTGTTTTTGTACATCTCATTATTTTCATTTACTGCATCCAAATTTTCATGCAACCATTAAAAGCAAGAAATTCAATCCAAATTTTAATTCAATCCAAATTTCAACAACAAATAACAGAACATAGATAGTCCATCCACTAATCATCCATTCAACCAACACAGGTCTGGGTCACTCCACCACCCTACTCTGGTGACGTCCTCTTTCTCTCTCTCTCTCTCTCACACACACACACACACACACACACACACACACACACACACACACACACAGAGCCAAAAAATACACTCCAGACACGACGCTGGCACTAGAGGCACAGCATGGCGCCGTAGTGACGGGCCCGACCACTGCCACTCGACCTGACCGGAGAAAACTGTAGCAGGGTGCTAGCGAAGTCGTGGTACATATCGTCAAACAGAGCTCCCCGGTAAACCGTAGGCAGAGAGTGAGAAGAGGACAACAAACGAGGGGCTGTGACAAAATGTTTCGTCGGAGTTTCACGGCCTCATCAGGGGGCTATATTACGTAATATTATTAATATATATATCGTCAAACAGAACTGCTCGGTAGACCGTAGGCAGAGAGGGAGAATATATATAGTAGTTGCTGTTGGCACAACATTACCTGAATGGGCGTCATGTTGAAAGATCGGCAATCCCAGACTTTGACAAAGCAATCGTACCCTCCGCTGACGAGAACGTTGCACTCGGAATTGAACTCCACATCGTTGATCTTCATCCCATGAAAATCGACGGATCACCCAAAAAAAAACAAAAAAAAAAACATACACCATTATATGTTAGTAGAAACTGGTCGACGTTGGGGCCTCTCTACAACTTTTACTGCCAAGTCCATCTATGTCGGGATACCTACCAACTATCCTACCTACCAAATACCCTCTGCCCATCCCAGAGTTACCTGTATGTAAGTCCTTTTTTTTTTTTTTTTTTTTTTGGATTACCTCAATTTACCTGCAGGTTTTTTTTTTTTTTTTTAAGAAAAAAATTCTTATAAGCCCGGAAACGGGCCCGGCGTCCCTCACATATGTACAGTCGGCTCCCAATTAGAGCGAGGCATCACTGGCCAAGCCCTTATCAGGAGTCGCAGAATCCCAGCAACTGAAAAATCTACAAACCTGAGCAAATGAGAAATGATCAGAAATCTTCAAACCAAACTGTAGCCTTTACTTCTATTTCATTCTATTCTCAGACCACGCTCAAATTCTTTGTCTCCTTTGGCGTCCCTCACATATTTACAGTCGTCTCCCGATTACAGCGAGGCATCACCGACCAAGCCCTTATTCAGGGGTCGCAGAATCCCACAAACTGAGAAATCTACAAACCTAAGCAAATAAGGAATCTTCAAACCAAACTATAGCCTTTACTTCTATCTCATTCTATTCTCAAACCATTCTCAAATTCTATGTCTCGTTTGTTTTCAAAAATTTTGTAGCCAAAGAACTGATGCGGGTCTTTTTCTACTGCCCCATTTGTGGAATTCTACCTGTTTGTGCAACCATTTACATAAAAAAATACACAAAACAATAAGTAAACATACAAAAAAAAATAGTACAATACCCAAAAAAACACCATTATATGAGCTGAAATGGACGGACGTCACACAAAGAATAGACAAAAGTACATTATATTTAGCTAAAATGGATGGATGTCAGGCCACTCTGTAACTTTTTTTTTTTTTTTTTTTTTT